ATTTCTTGAATATCATCAATATGACAATCTAATGTGAGGATTTTGTCTTTTAAATTATAAACATCAAGTGGTATTTTACCATTTTTAATTGTATTAATAGTTGATGGAATATAATAATTTTCATTTTCTACAATGTCAGTTATTATTTTAGTTCTGTCTGGAATTCTTGTGAGAAATTCACATTTTTGAACTGTGTTAGGGGAAATTTCGATAGTTTGATTTTCAAAGTCATTTCTAAATTGAAATGGTATACATGTTTGATCATTTACAAGACACATATTTTCAAAATCGATATTAAGTTTGTTATCATATAGAGTTTTGATTCCTATAATTCCATCGAAATAATCATGAAATGAATACATGAGCATTTCTACTTCATTTATGTCATATTATTGTAAAATTGGAATTTTAAGTTTTCCTTTAATTATTGTGGTTGTTCCTGTACATGTGGAAAGTTTGGATTTTGTATTAGTTATGTACTGATTAAAGTATTCTTCAGCTATGGAAGGTCTTATTAGTGAGGCATGACTTCCGGTATCAATTAATAATTTACAAGGTGGAAATTGAATTTCTATAAAAGGTAATTGATTAATTTGCAATTCATTTAAAGTTAATGCTGATCCGAGGCTTTTAAACAAAAATTTTCGGATTCATCAATTTGTTGTTCATCAGGATTTTCAAAACCTTGATATTCATATTCACTTTGATTTTCTTGGTTTTCACCAGAAGAAAGGTCAATTTCTTCTTCAAAATTTTCATTTTCTGAAAAATCTTGTTCAACTGGAATTAATTGTAAAATATTATTTTCTTCTTTAATTGTGTATTGAACAGGTCTTTTTTGGAAATTTTGTTTAAATGCGTGAGTGCGAGGTTGCACTGAAATTCCGGACATAGGTGTCGGTTTTGGAAATTGTTGGTTTGTATTTTTCTTAAATACATTGGATTGTTTATTATAGTTTTTTCCAAAAGTTTGTGAACTAGTTGGGAATTTCTGTTGATAATTCGCTCTTGGCTGAATGTTTATAGGTTGTGAGGGAAATTGTGATTGTTGAAATTGTTTATGTGGTGTTTGCACAAATTGTCTTTGAGGGAATTGTGTTTTCTGTTTTGAATTAGTGTATGAAGTGTGTGTATTATTATTTTTATTGATTGAATTATTAAATTTCATATGGTTTTCAGCTAACTGATAATTTAATACGCAACCTGTAGCTGCATCTAAAGTTAGTGGATTTTGCACCATTAAAATTGTTCTTAATTCAACAGGAGAGTTTGTGACTAAATTTTGGATTGCCATTATTTCATTTTGGTCTACCAAAACATTTGATACTGCAACTAAATTTTAATCACTCATTATCTTAGAAGTTATTCTATGATTTAAACTTTTTAATCTCTCTAAATAATCAAAAATATTCTCTTTAATATTTCGAGTAGTATACATTAATTCTTGTACTAAGTTTTGTTTAGAATATGGGTCTCCATATTTTAATCTTAAAGCGTTCTTTATATCAATCCATGATTTTAAGTCAGGACGTGACATAAGGAAGTTTCCTGCTTCATTGATTAATTTTGATTTAATCGCTGTTATAACATATTCTTTCTGTGCATTTTCGCCAGTATAATATGTAGTATAAAATTCTTCGATATTACTGATAAAATATTCTAAGTATTGTTTTTCGCCACCAAAAGGCTTAAGTAATTGTACAATAGATTTCAAATTATCACCCATGGTTCTTGGTTGATGATTATTATTTCTTAACGAATTATTAGTACTTGGATTATATAAATGAGTTAAGTTAAATTGGGTTAAGAGGTTCTGTATTTCCTCTTCAGAATCTGACATGTATTTTTTGAATTATATGCTTAGTCATAGATAGAAAAATAAAAAATACTTTCTTCAAAAATGTATTATTTTTTCTGAAAATTAAAAAATTGGAAAAAATTATTTATAATAGAAAATTAAGAATAGTTTTTCAAAAAAATCTGGTATTATTATTATTATTTTTTTTGAAAATTAAAAATCAAAAAAATTCAAAAATTCAAAAAAATTCAAAAATTCAAAATTGAGTGTATCTAATACCCAATTCATAATTTATGGAAATAAATCGTAATTGATATATTTTTTCCTAAATTAAAAATTTAAAATGAACTAAGTATTCAGTTATCAATTATATTTTTAAAATTAATTACTTAGTTATCAATTATATGTTTCCCTTAAATTACGTATTTATTTAATCGTTAATTATATTTTTAAAATTAAATTCTACTTTTTAAAATTATTCCTTTAATCTAACTTTAACTTTCTTAAAATTAAAAAAAATCGAAAACATTCAAAATTAGAATTTTTATGTTTCGCTTAAAATTAAAAATCAAAAAAAAATCAGAAATTTAATTTTTTTCTTTAAAGATTCAAAATTGAAGCTTAGAGGCTTATTAGGTTATTCAGTTATTTGAAAGTTAAAGTTGGAAATTTTATTTTTTCTCAAAAAAATCAAAAAATTAAAGGTTTCAACTTATTATTCAGTTTCTTGAAAATAAAAACAAAAAATTTGGAAATTTTATTTTTTTCCTTGAAAAATTTTCTAAGTCTAAAATCAATCAGTTTCTTGAAAATTGAAAATAAAATATGAAAAAATTGGAATTTTTTTTCTCTAAAACTTTTAGAAATTAAAGTTTTTAACTAATTATTCAGTTTCCTGAAGTTTGAAAATTAAAAATTGGAAATTTATTTTTTTCGTAAAAAATCAAAAATTAAAGTCTTAAATTTATTATTGAGTCTCGTAGGTTACTTGCATAGAGAAATATAATAGTAGTAAACTACGAGAGACGTTTGTTTAATGTAACAATCTGGAAGTGTGTTTGTGCACATACCCGTAGCGTATTTCGCATGGTGTGGCAGATTATTGAACTAATTACTTCGATCGTTTCTTACAACTCGGTTTAATTTGTCTTTGTCAGCAACTTGCCCGAAAATGTTCTATCTTTTTTTAACACATACAAAATACAAAATTTGACAAATGCTTGAATCCAAAGACCATCAATCAAAAACTGAATGCTCACAATCATAACGTAAAATTTCTTCTACTATTTGTATTAGAGAAATGAGAAAACATTCTGTGATCATAATTATGTATTAATTAATCAGACAAAACCAACACCAATAATAGTGAGTTTTCGAATTTGCGATGATGCGAGATGCAGTAAAAAGGTAAACACAAAGCTTATAATACAAACATTTTTAGTTACTGTATATTTATAAAATTGGAATAAAAAAATAAGTTTGTTTGAAGATATCTCAATTTTTGTATTGTTCAATTACCTCCTCGACCCCCTTAAGGAATCTCATTGCATCTAATTTGGATTTTTTAAAAATAAGTTCTGTTATCGTTCTAAACAGTTGCTCGGTAAATTTTAGCAAGTTTTTTCAACAAATGTTTTGCTTTGCTGTTTTGAGCATTTACAGTACTTTATTTTTAATAAATCTTAAATAAAATCAAAGTTAATAATTTAATTATTCAAAAAAGCCGCCTTTTCACTGTCGGTAAAGAAGAAACCTGCATTCAAACAATGTTCACTCTTTTATTGCTGTCTGTAGCCACTAGAGGCGCTAACGTCGACATTGTGCCAGTTAAGTAATGTCTGCCCAGCGAGTCTGTGTCTACGGGGCAACGGTAAGGGGAATGCAGTTGTAAAAAAAATTGCTGATTTCATTCATAAAATACCCAGCTGCGTGCGGAACATTTTGGAAGTGTTATCGTATTGCAACTCTTACACGAAAATCAGCAATGACCAAATCTCCGCCACTGGATATTTTAATATAAATCGATATTCCAAGATGGAAGGATAAAATGACGTGAGCCCTGGCCAATAGCGAGACGTAAGGTGACGTTAGCTCATTGACAACTGTATGGTTCCCCATGACAACGGCGATCCTGCCAAAAACTCCACCAATCAGGTTCATCCAGGACGGATGCTTGCCAAATTGTCAAAAACTGATGGTATCTTTGGAAAATTTTTATTTTTTACAATAGTCCAAATTTAAAAAATCAGGATTAAAATAGGGATAGATCTAACAACCACGTTAAAATATTTAGCATTTTATTATTGTTATCAATATTTTGTTATTAAAAAATGGATTTTCAAATTAACTATACTTCATGCACAGTATTTTCGCTTTTTTATAATTAAACGTGGCAACATCGCACATTTACGTCCGAATTCCTTCTGTAGACTCAGATCCGCTGGGCAAACACAGGGGAATGACTTCTCTTGTAGTTTACTACTATTATATTTCTCTATGGTTACTTGCTTAAAATTATTTAATTTGTATTTGGTCTCAATGCCAAAACAAATTGAAATTGAAAAAAATTTTATGATAAAAAAACTCAAAAAAAAAAAAGAAATTTTTCAAAAGAACTTAATTATGAAACACCAATTACAAAATACAATTTATAGGAAAAAGGGATTACTTACAAGGCACGATGCTTGAAACTGTATCACTTTTAACTTTGTACGTTGATCTTGTTGCTTCTTTTCTTCAGTTAATTTTTTCAAAAAGTGGAACGAATTGGATTAAACTTGTTCGAAAATTAAATTTCTGGACTCTATAGCCCTCTGAAGAACATCCGCACCGACTTGCGCCAATTATATTTTCGATTCAGAAACTTGTATTTTTAAAAAACATTTATTTTATTAATTAAAATACAATAGTGACAATCGGAAAATATGTGGATCAAATTGCTACAGGGAGTGCCTGAAAACAAATGAACGCTCCTTACTGGAAAGCTCTGGCTTAAATAATAAATATTTGCTGATCCAAGCATTTTCCTATGCAGGTGGCGGTACTACCAGTGCAGTACCGCTGATTAAGCAGTTTTATATATTTATTAGTATTGACATAGGCGTACGCTAATAATTAACATAGGAAAGGAGAATTATTAGTATAAAGATAACATAGGGTCTTACAATATAACTAGCATCTTTTAAAAAAAATTTCTTTTTAGATATCATTATGCGGCAGCTGATTCCTGGCACACACAGTTTCCTGATGGAATAGAAGTAATGGAATTCAAAGAGTTAGTTTCATAATCATTTTGACTTTACATTTGTTGATTACTTGCCCATTTTAGTGGTCAAAAATGTACCAAATATAATAACGGCAAAACCGAAGTCTGTTTTCCTGACGGTTCTCTAAGAAATATAAATCCTGACGGTACAGAAGAAACGCGATTTCCAGATGGCAAAAAAACGATAAAAACTGCACAGGGTGACACTATAATTTTACTACCAAATGGACAAACTGAAATACATACTCAGGAATATAAAGTTAGTATTATTTTGATCTAAATTGGTAAATGTTATAACTATTATTATTTAGAGAAGAGAATACCCAGATGGTACCACTCGAACTTTACATAAAGATGGCACAGTTGAAACAGTATACGCCAATGGAAGAGTCAGATTGAAAGGCGCTAATGGAGATTTAATCATGGACACTCATGTAAATGCAGATTGAAAGCTATATTTTCTTATAAAGAAACTGAGTTAATAGTTGTGGATAAATTAGGTATTATTTTAATATTTTTTCAAGTGTTCACAATTTAATGAAAATGTCCTGAAAATACAATAAATTTAAAAAAATTGAATATTGACAAATTGTTATTTTCTATGCATAATTTAATTGAAATTGTATGATTGTTATGGTGAAAGAGCACTGTTGAATTTTATTTATTTTTGCAAATAGGTACTTATTTGTACAGAATGTATTTTTTTTTGAAAAACATCAAGTCCTGGTCTTCCTTTCGTCTAGGTAAGTATTTTTACTAAGTAACTTTATTATGCAATAATACAGCTATGGAAGAATTGTAAAGATTAATAATTGTTGCTGAACTTACTAAAAGTCATTGATAACACTAGTGTTTTCATAGATCTTTCAGCACTCGGTAGAAATGAAATGGTTAAAAAATTTCACAAACTTGGTAAAACTGGTTTCAATTCATCAATAAACTATCCACAGACATTATATCTGGCGATTGTTGCTTCGATGATCTCTCAAAAAGTCACTATAGCTTACCAATACAATAAGGAATTAATTGAAAAAAAAAGTGTTTGTAGATCTTGCTATTAAATTATTTTTATTACCAAAAATAATGAATTTTAATCCTTTGGAGGATAAAGGACAGGACCTGTGTTATTGTTAGTTTCTTCAGCTGGTTTACCTGAAATTGCAGAATTGCATTTTGAAAAATATTGAAAATTTATCAAAATAGGTACCTGTTGGTTCCGTCTCTGAAGGTGGTAAATAGGATTCCGGCATAGTTTCTTCCGGCCCAAATATCACTTTGTCTACTTTATCTGTCGCTTCTCCTATGTAATTGGAAAATACAGGTTTTTGTTAATTTCAGTCTCAGAAATTTTTATTTAATATAAAAATTATTGATGTTTCACATGTATAAAACATGATCTAAACATCAATCAAGCCGAAAAATAAAAATAACCAAGCTTTAACAGGGATGAAGAAGTCAGCCTTAAGTGTAAATGTTAATAGTGATAATGGAAACTCCCAAATTCTTATCTGTAGTAATATTTATGACTTCTTTATATCTGTAACCATGTTTAACATATATTAATGTCCCATCTGTATGTGCACTCGATGGATAACAACAAACTGTGTTGTAACCTGGAATATCTATTTCATTTTTTTTGGAATCTTCTGTGACGTCTTATATTGAGTTCCCCACTTTCCTCTTTCTTCTGGAAAAATTCCACAATTTTTGCTTTGCCAGTTTTCCAGAAAAAAGTTAAAATATGAAAGAATGAATTTTGCTCAAAAAAGTCAATTTTCCAGAACTTTCCTTGGAGTGATTTTTCAGTAGAAAATTTTGAAATTTTCCTATAATGAGCTCATTTTCTTCTTTCTCTTGGAAAAATTTCACAAGTTTTGCTTTATTAGTTTTCCGGAAATAAATTGAAATATGAGAGGATGAGTTTTTCTTAATTTTACTTGAATAAATCATTTTTTCAGAATTTTTCCTGGAGCGATTTTCCATTGGAAAATTTTGAAATTTTCTTATAATGAGCTCCTGACTTTCCTTTTTTTCCTCTTTTGCCAGTTTTCCATAAAAAAAATTAAAATGTGAGAGGATGAATTTTCCTTAATTTTACTTGAAAAAGTCAATTTTTCAGAATTTTTCCTAGAGCGATTTCTCATTGGAAAATTTCGAAATTTCTCTATAATAAGCTCCTCACTTTCCTCTTTTTCTTGGGAAAATTTTCAAAGTTTTCCCTCTGCCAGTTTTCCAGAAAAAAATTAAAATGTAAGAGGGTGAATTTTCCTTAATTTTGCTTAAATAAGTCAATTTGCCAGAATTTTTTATGGAGTGATTTCTTATTGAAATATTTTAAAATTTTGCTATAATGAGCTCTTTACTTCCTCTTTTTTTCTAGAAAATTTTCACAATTTTTCTTTTGCCAGTTTCCCAGAAATAAATTAAAATGTAAGAGGGTGAATTTTGCCTAAAAAAGTCAATTTCCCAAAATTTTTCCTGGAGTAGTTTTCCACTGAAAAAATTTGAAATTTTCCTATAATGAGCTCTTCACTTTTCTCTTTCTTCTGGAAAAATTTCACAATTTTCCCTTTACCAGATTTCTAGAAAAAAAATAAAATGTAAGAGGGTGAATTCTCTTAATTTTGCTTCAAAAAGTTAGTTTTTCAAAATTTTTCCTGGAGTGTTTTTTCACTAGAAAATTTTGAAATTTTCGTAAAATAAGTTCCTTATTTTCCTCTTATTCCTGAAAAATTTTCAAAATTTTTCCTTTGCCAGTTTTCCAGAAAAAAAATTACATATAAGAAGTGAATTTTTCTTAATTTTACTTGAAAAAGTCAGTTTTTCAGAATTTCTCGTGGAGTGATTTTTCACTTGAAAATTTTGAAACTTTCTTATAATGAGCTTTTCACTTTCCTTTTTCTTTTGGAAAGATTTTACAATTTTTGCTTTGCCAGTTTTCTAGAAAAAAATTGAAATGTGAAAGAATGAATTTTGCTTAAAAAAGTCAATTTTCCAAAACTTTCCTCTCGACTTTCCTTGGAGTGCTTTTTCACGAGAAAATTTTGAAATTTTCCTATAATGAGCTCCTCATTTTCTTCTTTCTCCTGGAAAAATTTCACAAGTTTTGCTTTATTAGTTTTCCAAAAATAAATTGAGACGTGAGAGGATGAGTTTTTCTTAATTTTACTTGAAATAGTATATTACATTACGAGTGTGGAAAGTGACAAATTTCACACGAGTGTTATTTCGCGCGAGGCGACAGCCGAGTGCGAAAATCACACGAGTGTATGAAAGACGCTTTCTTACGAGTGATGTACACCATTTTTCCTACGACCAGAAACCGATTTACATCAATTTTCTCTTATTTTATTTCTTTTCATTTTCAAGACACGTGCTGAAAGTACTTTCAATCCACGTATTGAAAGTAAATTGTCATGTCAATCACAAATAATGTCAACAGTATTTTTCACACGTGTGCTGAAAGTACTTTTAGCACGCGTATTGAAAGTACTTTCAGCACGCGTGTGATATTTAGCGCTTTCCAAAGTACCAGCTAGTGCGAATTTTGTCATTTTCGTATGTGGTCGTAGGAAAAAGTCATTTTTTCAAAATTTTTCCTGGAGCGATTTTTTACTGGAAAATTTTGAAATTTTCGTAAAATGAGCTCTTCATTTTCCTCTTATTCCTGACACAATTTTCCCTTTGCAAGTTTTCCAGAAAAAAATTAAATTGTAAGTTAATTTTGCTTAAATAAGTCAATTTTTTAGAACATATTATTTGAGATTTCAGTCATAAAAAAAAAACAAAGAATCACCCTTTGCCGTTTGTACATGATATTTAGGAACACCCTGTATAATATGCAGGTAATTAATTTATATATTTGGGACTCCAATGATTTTTTAAAGGCCGGGTATTTCAATGTCACCTTAAGATATAGAATAAACATAGACATTGACAACATTGTTTGACCTTGTTCGTTGACCAATCAATAATAATTGCGAACGTGCTCTATGAATTAATCAACGACAAATACTTTTTTTAAAATTATGACGTCATCGATGACGTGAGTAACTAATTTTTTATACGCTGTGTCTAGAATCCCGGTACCGGTAACACATTTTTTACCCGTAGTTTTGATGACGTCATCGATATGACGCACTTGTACCGGGATTTAAGTGAATCCCGGTGTTTTGATTTTGTTTTTATCGTTATTTAGCAGCTGATTGGTATTTTAGGTTAGTTAATCATATGTTTTCGTCACTTTTTTGAAACATTTCAAACTATAAAAGTTAGTTTATTAGGTTCGAAATACCTTATATAAATGATTTGCGTTCAGAAATGTCGAACAACTCATCTCAGATTAGAAGTAGGTAATCTGCAATCAGATGATAGTAAACTAGGGTTGTTATATTTCCGAAAACCTCTGAGATTTCTGAGAATTTAAACAAATTTAAAATAATGTCATTTTATAATATAGCAGTTTATAATCAGAGCTGGGCAAAGCCCTCAGTAAAAGGGCTTGAAGCACTAAGCCCTCTATCAAAGTGCTTCAATTTCAAGCACAAATTCCTTTTTATTTTCAAAAGTGCTTCACAAGCACAAAGCCCTCAAAGTGATTTGAAAAGTGCTTGAAGCACATCAAAAGTGCTTGGGGTGCCTTGAAAAGGGCTTCAAGCTCTTTAAATGTGCTTCAAGCTCTTTAAATGTGCTTGAAGCTCTTTATATGTGCCTAAAGCACTTTGAATTTGTAATAAAATTCTCAAAGTGGCATAAGCTACCGCGTACACTCATCACACAGAATTGGTATAGTAGAGACGAACATTACATTTCACATAGTAGCAGTAGTATGTTTTTTTTGAGATGTAGTTCTGGGGTAGTTGGGGTACTACATGGTAATTCAATTTTAAGGTTTTCAAAATGTTCAATGGGGAAAAGTGAAAAAAATCCAGTGATAAAGTTAAATAGGATACCAATATAAATTAATTATTTATTTGAATAATAAGTTCATTCATTTTTTTTTTAATTCCATTCTAAGCTCAAACCCAAAACCTCCATTGTTAAGAGAGAAAAGACATAAGACGTTTCAAGTTCAAATAATAGAAAAAAAAATTAAGGGACAAAATACGATCGAAAATTTTCAAGTGGGGGATAGGTTGAATGATGGTCAATTCAAATTCCTTTCAAAGTGCTTCAAGCCCTTTTAAAGTGCTTCAAGTCCTTTCAAAGTGCTTCAAGCTCCCAAAAGTGCTTCAAGCCCTCTTAAAGTGCTTCAAGCCCTTTCAAAGGGCTTCAAGCTCCCAAAAGTGCTTCAAGCCCTCTAAAAGTAATTGAAGCTCATTGAAAGGGCTTGAATTACTTTTTTCAATTACAAGTTACCAAGCACTTTTCTAAAGTAATTGACTTTGCAAGCCCCAATTACAAATCTATAAAAGGACTTGAAGCACAGGGCTTTCAAGTCCTCAAAGTGCTTCAAGCACTTTCACAAGCACAAAGCACTCAAGCCCTGCCCAGCTCTGTTTATAATCGAATTTAATATTTATTAATTTACTTCAAGTCCATATATGTAACTATATTGTTCAGAATGTAAATTAAAATAAATATATCTCATTTTCTATTTATAAGTTTGCAATCAGAACAATACCACATTTTGGGTATTTTACACAAATTGGCACATTTCACATGTCAAAGTCTCTTCAACTTCTTTATAACTTTAAAATGTTCGTCCTACATGAAAAACCATTGTAAAAGTAATTTCACGTTAAGAAACTCACGAAAACACTCCACTTTACGTCCACACGTCAACAAAACAAGTTAAAAACATAAAAAGTTAGGTTAAGTTGGACTTTGATGAAACAGAAACCGTCAACGACTACATTTTTTACCGGGATTTGCTTGAATCCCGGGTAGCATCAAAACTACCGGTAAAAAATGTGTTACCGGTACCGGGATTCTAGACACAGCGTTTTTTATATTAGTGTTAGGTAGTGCCACTGTAGGTAGTGTTATGGTGGGATGCCGAATGAGAGTGCTTAGCACCCCCAAGCACCCTCCTAGTTGCGCCTATGGTAATGCTTCAATTCCCCTTAAGACTTTCTTTACAAAGTTCTTATCAATATCAATTATCCTTAACCTTAACGACGTTTTATTTTTGATTGTTTGGTTCTTATTTTACTTTGAGCAGATGGATTAAATGGGAATTTTGTTTTCTAGTCTCTCTTTTCATATTAGGGTTATAAATTTGTTGAAATAATTTAAAAACTTTATTAATTTATTATTAGCGTATTCGAAACGAATGAAGACAAATTTTCTAGAAGCAAC